AATTTTGGAAGTTGATTCTCTCCTACCTCGGGTTCCAGGACCAAACTCGGATCGTCAGGTTTGTGCTTCTACCCAGTGAGTCCCATTTCAGATGCTCACATTTTTCAGATGTGTATTCCCATGATTTTAATGCATGTGTATAATGTATTTTGACCAGATTCACTCCCTGTACTTCGCTCTTTCTTCCTTTATTGGTATTTTGTCTGTGTGTGTGTGTGTGTGTGTGTGTGTGTGTGTGTGTGTGTTTGGACCCTTGAGTTAACAGCTGTGAGCTTACTAGTGGCTATGCCACTACAGAAAATTTCTCTTCCAGCAACCATTCAACTACCCAGAGATCATCAGGGAGAATAGGGCCTTGTGAATCTTTTCCCTTTCCATGACAGGATGGCAAGACCAGTCTTATGCAGGTAATCACAGCTGCTGGGAGCTCAAGGTTGCCACAGCCATGTCAGACCCTGAAATGGCACCCCACAACACCCCACTCATTCCCCCGGCTCCTATATTCTGTCCCCTCTTCTGCCATGTTCTCTAAGTCTTGGGGTAATATGAATATAACGTTTATAACATTTATGACTAAGCACTCATGCCACTTATCCTCAGCATTTTGACCAGTTAGGAATATCTGCAGTTAGCACTGTGCCCCTCCCTCCCATGCAAAACGAAGCTATGGGCTAGAGATGGTCAGCAGTTAAAGAGCACTTGAAGCTCTTTCCTGGGGACTCAAGAGTTGGTCCCCAAACCCTTGTCAGGGAGCTAACCACCTGTACTCCAGCTCCAGAGGATCCAATGCCCTCTTCTGCCATCCCTGTTGTATGTACAACAGTAAATTGGCTGGGCATGGTGGCTCACATCTTTAATCCTAGGACTCAAGGGCATGCAGACCTCTGTGAATTAAAGTTGACCTCTAACCTACGGCCACAATTATTTCGAGGGAAGTTTGATGAGACCATCCAGAGCAGTTCACAAAATGATAGCAGTCGCCTCCCCAGTAGGGCCTATAGCCTCCCTAACCATGAACATTTAATTCAGGTTCAATACCACATGTGAATTTCTTCCTGTGGAGGTCTCAAATTTCAAAGTGGTTAATTACCTCCAAGAGACTTGTTCCTATTGCACGAGTCCACAGCCGGGTAAAACTGATGACAATACTGTCCCGTCAGTCTGCATAGTACCTTCCAGCACTACAGGGCTGGCCTCCACACCCACTTCTAGCTTTTGATCTGTCTTCTAGCTTTTGTAACAAGTGGTCCATTGACACATCTTGCCATCTTGTTTTGGCGAGCAAACAGCAGGTGTGTCAATTTGTACAATTTGTCCCTGATTTTTGTGTGTGCATCCTAGAGGTGACACAGGGTCTCACTGAAACTGGAGCAAAGGATAGTGATCAGCATTCTATTCACCCTCCTGTCCCACAACTAAACTATGGGTGCATGTGCCAATTTCACATGGGTTCCTAGAAAATGAAGTCAGGTCCCTGTGCTTGCATAGCAAGTGTTCCTTACTACTGAACCAAAGAACAATGGTGGCTCTGGTTCAGTGGTTTTTAGACAGATTTCACTACGTAATTCTGACTGACCTGCAACTATACATCCCACGCTGGCTTTGAGCTAAGGGATCCATTTGCCTCTACCTCCCAAGCATTGGGATCAAAGCACACACCAGACTTGGTCATCAACTTTTAGTTTGAGACAGGATCTCATGAAGCCTAGGATAGCCTTCAACTCTAACAATTGCTTCTCATCGTCCTTCCCCTTTCTCCTAAGTGCTACAATTGTAGGCACGTGCCACCATAACATCCAGGTTTAAGTCTTCCACACCACTTTCATTTTTCTAGGGGTAGGGAAAGAAGGGGATGATAAAACACAGGACCCCGGGGATTTTTGGGCAAAACAAAAAGGCACTTTTCTACTATTTTTGGTGTGTATAGATGTTTATTGTTAGTGTGGGTGCATGTGGAGAACGGAGAAGTCCCAGCACCCACCTCAGAAGGCAGTCTATCCCCTTTGAAACACATCCTCTCACTGGCCTTAGGCTAGAAGTTGGCCAGTGAGCTGTAAGAATCCACCATCTCCCATCTTCCAGCACCGTCACCACACCTGGATTAAGATTTTTTTTTTTTTTTTTTTTTTTTTGAGACAGGGTTTCTGTGTAGCTTTAGAGCCTGTCCTGGAACTCGATCCGTAGACCAGGCTGGCCTTGAACTCAGTTGTGTGTCTCTGCAGACAGGGATTAAAGGTGTGTGCCACCACCCAGCAATTTATCAGTTCTTGAAATTCTCATGTTTTCATCTTATATCCATGCTCATTCACCCAGTTTTGTGGCTCTTTTATAAAAACATACTGTGCCCAGTCTACAAAGCAAGTTCCAGGGCAGTCAGGACTGTTACACAGAGAAACCCTGTTTTTTGTTGTTTTTCATGACAGGGTTTCTCTGTAGCTTTGGAGCCTGTCCTGAAGAGAAACCCAAAACCTAACCTCCCCCCCCCCCCCAAATAACCTACTGTGGTAGTTTGAAATGTAATTGGTCCCCATAATCTCACAGGGAGTGTCCTTATTGATTGGAGAAAGTGTCACTATGGGGCTTTGAGGTTTCCTAAGCCCAGTGTCCCAGTTCACTTCCTGTAACTCAGCACCATGACTGCTGCCATGCTCTCCACCATAATGGACTGAACCTCTGAGCTGTTAAGTCACCCCAAATAAACCTTTTCCTTTTAAGAGTTGCCAGTCATGGTGTCTCCTAAGGCACCATAGACAATTTATACAACCCATATACACTTGGTGGGTTTCATTATGTAGCCCTGGCTGGCCTAAAACTCTAAGATGGCCTCCAATTTAAAGACCTTCCTAACAGCCTTCAAAATGCTAGAATTAAGGGTCCACCTGGCATCTTCACATAGGTTCTGAGAATCAAGCAGGCCCTTAACAGTTGGCAGCATTTGAGCAAGGCACATCACCATTTCTTGATTTCCAGCGTATGTTTCCACTATTCCACCCCCTGGAAGGTTACAGGGGCCAGAGTTCAGCTTCCTTGGCAGAGTCACCCTCAACAGCCATAGCTTGTTATCCATACTACCAACTCACACCTCAATTGTGGCCAACATTCTGGGGCCATAGAAACCTTTGTATTTTCTCCAAGTCTACTCACAGTTTTGCTGCAAATCACCTCAGCCATCAAGCACAGCCCAGCTAACCTGCTGTTCTGTGGCACAGGTCCTCAGGCCTGATTCTTCCTCTGCTACCAAGCCAGCCCCTAACCCTCACACTCCCTTTCTAATCCAACCCACAGCACAGCACACAGCAACAGCTGTGAATACAGTCCAACACACTTGCAGACCACATTGTATTATATGGCCAAAAAGTTGGACAGCGCTGCCAAATCTAAAGGCCATGCATGCTTGCCAGACTTCCTCCACGGTCTTTCTGGGACCACCATGGTAGGGCTCCCTCCTTTAATCCTACATCCCATATTTTCAGCATAAGACCTGCAATCTTTTTTTTTTTTTTTTGGTTTTTCGAGACAGGGTTTCTCTGTAGCTTTGGTGCCTGTCCTGAAACTAGCTCTTGTAGACCAGGCTGGTCTCGAACTCCCAGAGATCCGCCTGCCTCTGCCTCCCGAGTGCTGGGATTAAAGGCGTGCGCCACCACCGCCAGCAGGACCTGCAATCTTAAACATACCTTTTTGTCTCTTTACCTTTTCTGTCTCACCCTTACTCAGAGTCATGGGAAGTTTACTTCCCAGAACCCTGGAAACACATCTACCCCAGACTAACTTGAAGTTGTTTATGCTGGACTAAGTTTCTAACTAGAAACCTGGCCTCCCTCTCTGTACCAATGTTTTATTTCTGCAAAGCACTTGTCTTAAGTCTCAGGAATAAGAGACTTCATGCTGACCTTTTCTATCTGTTACTTCCTAGCCCAACACCAAGAGGGCAGGGGTACTGTCTGCCATCATTAGAAACTGGCGTGAGATTTTCCTAAGATGCCATAGACCAAGTGGGTGTTTCCCACCTCCTAAATACTGTCCGCACTCTCTCTGAAACTGTAACAAAGGCTGGCAGTAGGGTGAGAGAGGGGAGCCACAGAAGCATATTAACCTCCCCTGGGGGAAGGGGTGGGGAGACGAGAGGATAGCTGAGCCGTGGTTAAGTCATTTATTGATTTTATTTCTAAAACCCACATAGCGCCACTTTTCTGCTTCCAGAGCTTCAAAGAGCTAATTAACCGCCCAACGAGCCCACCAGGGAAACCAAGATTGTGAGGGAAGCAATGAGGTGAAGCCAAGGTTGAAGGGGGTGGCAAGGCCCTGCCCCCACCATGTAAGGTTAAGGGACAAAGGGAAAAACCTTTAGTTTAGGGCTTGGTTAGGGAACTTCTAAGGGTGGGATGTAACACCTGAGGCGGGATACTGGACAGACCAGCAAGAAAGCTCTGCCCAGTAACAGCTGCAGGAGCTGCCCAAATACCTGGCTCTCACAAAGGCAGGAAGGGGGAAATTTTTGGGTACCATCTAAGTATTATCTTCTACCCAAAATAGAACAGACTGCAGAAGACCCTATGCAGAGGTGCCCACTTTGCACAAGGGCATTGCATTTCACCCCCAGCACTCCCCCCAAAGCCTGCAGCATTGGCAGGCTGAGAGTCACCAGCAGGGAAAGAAAAAGGCAACTTGGCGGTTTTAATTTTAGCAGCTCTGTGCCTGACAAGCAGGATTAGTTGGTCTGACCTTTAGTGTTGATGACTCCCCAGGCCCAGGGCCTTAAGTCAGATGGCAGCCAGTAGACACAAATCTTAACTAGAGCTCAAATATGGAGGTTAGAGCCCCAAGAAAAGGCCTTCAAAATGACAGATCACTGAGATATGAAGTGAGCCTGGTTCTCAGTTTTATCAAGGAGAAACAGGGTAGGGGGTTGAAGCCAGGTGTTAAAACAGGTAGGTAACGGAAACTTTGGTATCGTTGGTAGGGAAAAGGAAGTTTAGAAAGAAAAGAAACAGACCCAGAAAAACCACACTGCTCTTTTATTCAATGGAACATTCCCCCCTTTAGTGCAGTGTTGAATCAAACACCAAAAAAAAAAAAAAAACAACAACAACAACAAAAAAGCCCAGAGAAATTTCTGTAGATAAACCAGTGAAAAGAAGGCGTTACACATTATTGTCAACATAATCACTCCATGAAGAGGGAAGGGGCAAAGAAGCTGAACGAAGAACAAGGGGCACAAGCCCCAGACACTGCAAAACATCTGGACATCTGGGGTCAAAATAAAACATAATGGGAAGCTTTCCAGGAAGAAGAGAAGCAAATGGCATCTGAGGCAGTTTAGGTGATCAGGAGCATGGAAGACTCCAGGCTGGCAGGCAGGTCTATAGTGGCTTGGGCTGTCCCACTTACTGCTGGAAGATATGAATCCCAGGGCTGGATTAACCCTTTCTAGCAACATCTAAATTCTCAAGATGCTTTAAAAGGTGGCAAAGATTAACCACACAGGACCCTCCTTTACAACCAAACTTGACATTAATGGTCAAAGTCTGTGCCTAACCATTTGCTCCTCTCTCCTTGGGTAGAGAGGAATGGAGACAAGGGAAAGGATTCTATCTGCAGCAGAAGACCGGGGAGAGCATCTCCTTGGACGGAGTCTGAAGAAAGGAAAAGATAAGGAAATAACAAAGGAAAAAGATAAAAATTAATAAAAATTTCACGATATGGAGCCAGCGTGTTCTGATTCCGTCCACAAAAATAACTCAGGCTGCTTTGCCGAACCATCCTGTCCACCAAGGGCGCTGCTGAGGCTGTCTGCCTGGAAGGGTCACCAATGGGCGCGGAAAGTCCTCACTCTCATGGCTCGGGGCCATCGCTGCCGCGGGAAGGGATCTTTGCTGCCATGGCAAGGGGGTGCTGGAAGCCATACTGCTGCTGGGCGGAGGGGGTGGCGGAGGCTGCTGCTGCTGCTGCTGCCATGGAGGAAGAGGACCAGAGGGAGGAGGCGGGGGCTGCCCACTGGGAGGTGGCGGAGGCGGCGGCATCATGCCCATAGGCGGTGGCGGCATCATACCTGCAGGCAAACAAAGAATTAGGATTAGGCTTTTGAGAATGGGAGACCCAGGCAAGTGCTCCCACTAGCTCCCACGGCCCTAGACAGAAATCCCAAGAGAGTATATTACCTTTTCCTTGATGCAGGCGATAGACCCCAGAGCCCACAGGCGTACTTCCCAGGTACTGATCTTGATGGAAGGAAAGAGCAGGGACTTAGCAGGACATTTGAACTGGTCAGGCGAGACATCCCCAATAGCTTTCTCAGTCATTCAGCTATCTGAGTCATTAACCTCCCAAAAGTTCAGCCGTAACAGCAGGTGGACCTCCCCACACAGAAGGTACTCCATAAGTCTATGTCTCAGCAAGATTCAGACCACTGGCTAGCCATTCAGTACTAATTACAGCTCAGAATCACTTGGTATGAACCTATCCACTCCCACAAACCCCAAGGTTTCTGGTCTGACACTTACTTACCCATTGGAGGAGGGCCATGATGCCCAGGTGGGTGGGGGCCCTGGTTCATCGGTGGGGGTGGTGGCTGCATCCAAGGTGGTGGTGGTCCATTTGGGTTGTGCTGCATGGGATGTCCACCATGCCCACCTGTCAAGCTGGGTAATGGGTGTGGGAAACTGTGGGGGCCACCTCCAGGCCCACCAGGACCACCTCCATGCATGCCATGATAGGGCCGATTCTCTGAAGGGCCAGAGTTCATCCAGGGTGGGCGACTCTGCGTTGTAGACATGAGAGACTACATGAGAGCATTTCCTGCTAATGTCCGTGCCTGCTCCCCCTGGTGGCAACATTGTTCTTCTGACTATGTCAGAAGACCAGAACACGAGGACAGGCAGGCTCCTTCCACAATGGCCAGACATCCCAGAAGAACAATGTTGCCAGCTATATCCACCTCTAAGTTTTATCTTAGCCACACACAGCTCCTGGTCTCTCTATAGAAGAGAATGCAGGAGCTAGACTAAAGAGTTGTCCCAGGGCTCACCGGTGGTGGTGGGTTGCTGGCAGGAGCAGCAGGTCTTGGTGCACTGGCCAAGGGTGTGGTGGCAGGTCCAGAGGTAGAGCCCACAGATGCAGGGACAGGAGCTTCCCCTAGCTCAGCCATAAGGGACAAATATTCTTTATCCATCCGTGCTTTATCCTGAGCCGACTGAGGGTCACCAGGCCTAAAGTAGGATTGGAAACACAAAGGAGAAAATAGAAAGCTCTAATTCAGTTAAGCGAAACCCTCCCCCCTTTTCTAGCCCTTTATTGGAAATGGTTCTCCAATATCCATTCTGTTATCACTGCCAGCCACAGTAGAGGCCCTGGGTTAGAACTGACCCACCATACCAGACCCTCACCCCTCATGCTTTATCAGATCCTACTTCGGGTCCAATTCCCAGCAACCACATGACAGCTTTCAACTGCCCACCACTTCAGATCTAGAGTGAACCCTCTTCTAATATCTGCAGGCACTAAGGCACACACAGTATAGACATAGATGCAGGAGAAAAACTCAAATCAAAAAAGACAAAAAAATTCTACTTCCATCTTCCTTGTTTAAGAGAAGGGAATTTATGCAAGATATAGAGAAACTACATGTACACCTCCCCTAAAAAGGATCACATGGAAATGAAACCCCTTAAGGTATTTTTTTTGGGGGGGGGGGGATTGCTTTTCAAAACCAAGTTTTTCTGTGTAGCTTTGGAACCTATCCTGGAACTCGCTTTGTAGACCAGGCTCAAAGAGATTCACCTGCTTCTGCCTCCCTAGTGCTGGGATTAAACTCATGCGCCACCGATGCCCAGCTAAAACCCCTTAAGTCTTAACAAATCTTAAGCAGTGAATGTGAATATTCACCCAATGGAAACATTTATAGCCAGAGTGTAAGTTTCTGGACAATAGTAGGCTCTACACATTTCTAGTCCTCAAGTTTAAAACACATGCCACCCAACCACACCCACAGGAAGGATGCTGCTCTAGTACACAAGATGAACCACAAGCCAGTAGCGGAAGGAGGATCCTGAAGACCAGTGGGCTGCAAGGGAGCCAACTTCTAAAAGCAGCCAGGCCTCACCTCTGAAATTTGCAATCGGATGCAATGTGGCCAGCCCCTCCACACTTGGTACACACGGTAGTATTGGTAATGCTGCGTGTCTCTGAGCTCTGCCAGGGTCTTAAGATCCTGTTGAGGTAGAGAAATCAATTCGAAGACCTATAGAAACCACCTTTCCACTTCAAAATGTTCTTCAGGTTCCTATGCAGTCTTCTCAACATTACCACTGACCTGTTATCATCTTCCCGTAGAGTGCCATTCAAACGAGCCAACTCCCGAAGCTGCATCTTCCGTAGATCATTCTGGTCCTCTGGGGTCTCAATACCCTGCTTCAGGATGTTTCTGATCTATTAAGACACACCAACAGCTGTCAATAGTGCCTAGGGCCATCACCTAGGTTTCCAGCAAGAAGTTTCCTTCTGGGCTCACCACACACCTGTTCTACTGCCTTTTTGACATTCTCCATTGTATTGGCAGTGACTAGAGCATGAAGAGGTTCATCCTCTCCTGGCAACATTTGACCATCTTTGCGCCCAACTTTCCCCTCTTTCACAGATCCTTTTCCCCGTATCATGATCTTGGCATTGCATTCCTTCTCAATGTTCTTCAGAGTGTTCCCTCTATCAAAAGGTAGAAAAGATAGGGTCTATATATATATTCAATGCAAATTCTTATTTCAGAGTAAAAACACTGAGCTAAATAGTCATTGGTGAGAAACTGCAAAACACAGAGCACCAAGACCCCTCTACCAAGGACTACTGAGAAATTCTACTCACCTAGGCCCAATTAAGAGACCCACAAAATTGATTTCTGGATACTCATCTTGGGGGATCATTACTTTATCACTCACACGTGTTGCTGGAGGCCTAAAGAAAGAAAAGACCATCAGCATCTCTATTTCTGGGAGATAGTACACATAACCAAAGCTCTTCTACAATCAAGTATATACCACATGAGAATTAAGGACAATTGGGCCAAAAAGTGAGTAATAAACCAGAATTGTCCAAGCAGGTCACATATGATCTGAATGTGCCCTTGTCCCAAACTACCTGACTCTGCTTGCTTACTTGTAATCTGCAGGTGGTTTAAAGTCCGGGTTGAGAGCAACCATCTCTGTGATAAGTGTGTGTCGCTCCTCTTCAAGCTTTTTGCGGGTACGGAACTCTCGAGTATTAAGCCGCTTCCCCTCACTGTTGTAGATTGGCTCAGGGGAAGGGGACCTGCGGGAGACAGAGCCCCATTACTGCTCGGCCCCTCACTCCCTTTGCTCCCATATGGACTATTTACAAGTCTCCCCCCAGCCCCTCTGCCTCTCAGATCCTAACAAAACTCTTCGGAGGAACCGACCATAACGTGTGCTATTCAAGATCGTGTGGAATGGGGAGATAAAATCTGACTTAACATCAAGCAATGTGGGGTATATGTGAGAAAGGGAAAAAGTCTTTAACTTCTAAAAGTGGCCGAGGAAGGGTCCAGTAAAGAGAAACCTTTGGACCACAAGTGGCAAGAACAGTATCATCCTCTGGAGGCTTCTTGCCAAATGATGCTTTCATTTGAAAAAATTATAATAACCCAACTTGATGAACCACAGAAACCCAAGTTTAGGTGAACTGTGTCTATTAGGAAGAGCACCTGTACCCCTGCCACACAGTGAACACAAACTTGTTCACCCAAAGCAGCTGGGACTCAAGCTACTATAGTTACTTGGCCCCCACAATGGAGAGAAATGGTGCAAGGCTTCGTGTCTCTGCTTTTCCTTCAATGGCCTGGCTGGCTGTTCGAGGTGGGGAGTCTGGGTAGAGAAAACCGTTAAATTGCTAACGCAGCTTCTGCAAGAGGCTGCAAATGCAGACTTAGTCAAACACTTGTCTAGGGTCTGAACCTGCCAACAGCAAGGGGAACTATAATTCTCCGCCAGAGTTTACAAGTCCAGAAAGCAGAAATTTCTCTCATTTTTAAGGAGTAAAATGCTGACACTACAAGCAAAAAATAAAAAAAATATATATAGTAATGATAAAGTGGTCACTTTACCACAGCTAGATTTTGCGGTAACAAAAAGAGAAGTTATACTCCTAGAATTCTTAGTTAAGATTACAAAAAGGACCATAGCTTGATACTCTGTATGTAAATTTAGTAGTAGCTGCAAGAAGGGAAGAGACCATGTGGATCAGGTTATTTTAAAAAACATCCTGAAAAGTAGTCCCGACTCCTACACCCTTGGTTTAGTTGAGAGAATTGTGCCTAGTTGGAGAGCAAGAACTGAACTCGGCTGCTCCCACTGTCTTCAGCCTAAAGGGAACCATGTCATACCAGGTTACACACACGATGGAATAAAAGGTCGTTTGTTCGTGGCTAATGACGGGCTAAATGACACCTCCGTTTCTAGCATCTGTATGAACTGTTAGCACAATCCAATCATAGTGAACACAAGCAAACATCCCCAACTCATTAGACTGTCATCTTACACATTTAAGTCTAGAACAGGCTTTAAAACATTTTAATTGTGCAAGTTAAGCAACATCAAAATAGCAGAAAGTGGCTTAATTTTGAAATACACCTTCTTAAGAAATCATCTTAGTAAGGTAAGAAACTCATGTATTTCCCTCCAACCTGGGCTTAAAAGCAAAAGCAATCAGGCATTATCGCCTCTTTCAAATTTGAGCATATACAAGGAGGAAAAACCCTGCTCTGGTTTTACTCATTGCTAGCATGCCCACCCCATTGCTCTCTATAATTGAATGTTTCTGGCTAAATACCGAATTGTACCAGAACCAAATCGGCCTTTTAAAGGCTTCATAACTCCATACCCATTTAACCTCTTCCCAAACTGTGGAAGTGAAAAGCAAAAGCTAGCAATCTAGAGGTTAGACTGGTCGGACTTCTTCACCTAGAAGAGGCATCAGAGACATCAACTGCACTCTAATCCCAGTTCTCCAGGAAGCAAACAAGGTTTGTTAAAAACTCAACCTTTGGAGGAATTGCCTGGTAACCTGTAGACATACCATTAAAGGGGAAAAGGCCAAAAAGGCACTAAACAGTTGTGGTCTATAACCTACAATGTAAATCTCAAAAAAAATTAAAAAATAAAAATCTTCAAATCAAAAAAGAAATATAAAACATAACTTTCCAATCAAAATCTGTATGTAAAAAAATAACAAACTTGATAAATCAAAGAAGGTCAATATGGAGAAATCATTAAGTTCATTTGTTTCATGGCAAGGGGCAGCAGAACTGTGTAACTTCTAAAAGCCATTACCAGAATAACAAAAGCCAGAAACACATTCCAAGCAAATCTTTTCAACTATACTACATGCACTAAGATTTCAATGGAAGCTTATTGTCAATTAAATGACCAGACTTTAGCTGTTCGAAGATCAGCCAATAAAATACCACTTAGAAAGTTCCTCTCTCACATGAACTTTTAACTTTTCAGAGACGAGAGAGAAACTGTAAACTGAAATGATATGACCACAGCTGTTTGAGGCCCACGTTCCCTTTAAAAAAGAAAAAGTAATTTAGGGGTTGGTTGTTTGCCTTTCCCTCCCAAAACCCGCAGGCAATGGCCAAGCCTGAAAATTAATTGGCAATGAAGGAAGTTGGTTAGAAATCTCCTGATTTTAAAACAATCCCAAAACCACAAGCAGGTAAGACTTCAACAAGCTTGGCCTGCTCAAATTCAGTGATAGTTAAAAATACTCTCATATCCCTGCACAATTACCATGAGAAAAACTGCCCCCTGTGCTTTCAGCCAAAGCAGCCAGTGAACGGCAGGTTAATGGCTACCCCCCACTGTCCCTAAGGGTGGGTAAATTTTCAGGTTAAAATCTACATGCTTATCAATTAGAAACCAGTTATTCATTTCCTTTAACTCATTCTCTCATTAAATTCCAACTTTTCTAACTGTTGACTGAACATAACACATTCTGCTAAATAAACCCTGGTCAGAATACCAGTCGTCTTAACTAGGATTTTATTGAACTGACACAATATGTTGCCACCAGTAAAAACATATTGAGAAAAAGGTAAAAGCGTTACTGTCAGCTGGTTAAAACTGTTTCCCAACCTGTCCTCAGGGTTAGGGGGGATGCCCAGGTCTCCTGTGCGCAGTTTACGAGTCAGGTCTTCTATCTGTAGTTGCACTGGAAGAAACCAGGTTAGGAAAGAAAAAAAAAGGATGGAAAAAAGACAATGTTACCAAAAAACATCTCAAATCTCAATAACAAGCATGAAGAACTCGGAGACTTTGAAAGGGATGACTGATCAGTGACACACTGAGGCAAAAACCCCCAACCACCTAGCAGCAGGAGTCCATTTACATCTACAGTTAATTTTCACTTCAAAATGGTTATCACTTAGGAAGCAAACAGTTTGTTGGAAGAGGGGTTAGCAGTTAAGACTGTTCACTACAGCTTACAATTGCAATTATCAGGAGGTAGTCACCTCTTCCCTTCCCCACCAACACTTGCTTATTACAATTGGCACCCTGAACCAACACCATTTAAGATCACAAGTACCTGGTACCCACCAAACTCAGGGCAAGACTTAAGTTTCTATTTCTTCAATAAATTTTAAACACTACCCAAAATTACTCAATTAACATGGGATAATAAAATAATAGCAGTTGAGCAAAGACCATTTTCATTAAGACCAGGTTTAAATTCTTTAGGCAAGACATTTAATAATTCAACATCTTACAAATTTGTACATACACTTTCTATACAACCAGACCTGTACTAAGAGTCCCCAAATACCTGTAACTTTCACTCAAATATTGAGCAAACCATATACCTTTCTTTTTATAAACCAGTGGGTCTAAGTAAGGTTCTGTAAGCTTATTTTTTACTTTGCTTTTGGCTTTTTTGTTTTGTTTGAGACAGGATCACTATGTAGCCCTGGCTGTCCTGTAACTTGATCTGTAGACCAGGCTAGCCTCGAACTCTGGAGACCCATCTGCCTCTAGAGTGCTAGAATTAAAGGTGTGCACCACCACTGCCAGGCTTGTTTTTTTTTTTTTTTTTTTTGAAGCAAGGTCTCAAAGACGTCCCTGGATATCTTGGAACTCACTAGGTAGACCAGGTTGGTTGGTCTAGAACTCAGAGATTCTCTGCCCCTGCCTCCCCAGTGATTGGATAAAAGGTATGCACTACTACACCTGTCCATGAGTTTATTTTCAGACCACCTACTGATGTGGCAGGGGTGTTAAAAGATGGAAAGTGAAGGTAAAGAAGAATGCACGTGGCCCTAAAGTTTGAAATGACAAGAGATGAGGGTTTCACTAAAAGCATCCAGTAACTCAGGGGAAAGGTTAACACAGCAGTAGTATAGCAGACCTAGAGCAGCTTCTTCAATATGGTGCAAACTACCTCTCCTATATCTTTATCACGCGCCAGGTTTCTGAGCAGGTTGGAAGGGCATGGCTTACTTATAATGCATAATTAATGCACACCTAAGTACAGATTTTTTGGGAGGTGGGGAGCTAGAGACAGGGTTTCTCTGTGTAGCTTTGGAGCCTGCCCTGGAACTTGCTTTGAAGACCAGGTTGGCCTCAATCTCAGAGATCCGCCTGCCTCTTCCTCCCAAGAGATGGAATTAAAGGCGTGCGCCACCACCACCCAGCTTTTCAAAACAGGATTTCTCTTTGTAGTTTTGGCTATCCTGGAACTCTCCGCATCCTGAGTGCTGGGATAATTGTAATTGTGCCTGGCTGATAACTGTTAACGTATGTCTCACAGGGTTATACACAACATCTCCACCCCTAAACACACGGATTGTTAATTTAACAGTGAGAGGATATTGAGGCCATCTGGACAAAATGTATGCCATGGGACACAGTTGCTATCCAAGCTCCTTTACTCCAACAAGTTCTAGCTTTACAGTCAGACATTAAACTCAAGAACTTCAGATAAAAGTAACTACCACAGGGCAGCCTCTTAATTGTGGGATCTAACTTGAATATCCAGAACTACATAAACCAGAAAAGCTGTTATCTCTCATAAAGCAAAGAACCTATACTAGCCTCTTCTGTCTACCTTGATGTAAAATGTAAACAGTCTTTAAGGGCTTAGTGCATTAACTAGGCATTGTAAAGTCTTAAGTGTTTCTCAGATTCTGTGTTCTTGGGCTATGACACCACTAGGGAGCATTTTACAAGGTTGGAAGGTCCAACACTGGTCTAATGACACCTAAGGGTTGGGTAAACAGCAACAGTGAGAGAAAGTAGTGTTAGTAAGTATTGTGAGAAGCAGACAACTCCAACGCCTCAAAACTCTCAGCCATCTAAAAACCAGGAAATGAAGATCTCCAGATTTAGACTACATGGAACTGTGCATGTGAAGACCACTAGGTTTCTGCCCAAAGAGGATGTTTATTTGGTTAGTTGAAAATGTTTATCAAGTGCACTTTGAGACAACTGGACAGAAACACACAACTTGTAGTAATGACCTTGGTTTCTGAGTAATTTTGAGGTTCAATTTCAACTCAACTGTGGACAGTAACTTGATTTTTGAAATCCTGCCACCACCTCATTTCAAATCAAACAGTAAACCCTTCCCAGCAGAGTCCTTTAGTGGTAAACTACAAGAGCCTTCATTTTTAAGAAAGCTCTTTAAAAGGTCAAACAAGAAAAGATGCTGAAAATGGGTGAACTGTAAATACTTTCAGAGCCACTTTTTGTTTGAACTGTTTTGTAAACCTATAAAAAAAAAAAAAAAGCAAAATCACATTTTAGGGAAAGGGAACCATATTATAGTGAAAGGCCATACTACAAACCAGGCACCTGATTTACAATACCTGCAGTGTTCTCCACTGGGGCCTGTCCAGAGGCAGATAGCATGCACCTCATCAATGAGCAAGAGCAGCTGAGAAGTGGGCTGCTTAGTAAGAACTATGTGCTGCTGAGAAGCTACAGATGCAGGACTGGTCAAGCAAACCACAGTTTATGCCAAAGCTATAAAAGCACACCTGATCGCACCACCTTGTCCCAAGACTAAAATCTCAGACTTTCAACAGTTGTCACTCAGAATAAGCAATAACAACCTGAAGATGCACCTGGATGCAGAACGTGTATTTACCTATGTAAGCTCTTTCTTGTTCCCGTGTCAGTCCAGGGGGGATAACTGTGGGCATTCCTGGAATCACTGTCTTCTGTTCCATTGTGTCTTGGTTCCAACGGCTCCTCTTCCTCTTCTTACTTGGGAAGTCTAAAGACAGACAAGAGTCCATCAGGCAGAAATATGAACCATGAGAGTGACCACCAACAGGGAATACATGATTATTAAGACTAAAATAGAAATCCACCTAAAATTTAAAAGGAGAAAACTCTCACAGATCAGAGAAGAAAATTGACAGCAGCATTTAAAAGGTATCTGGTCCTGGCGGGAAAGTTAAGAACACTTCACATTTACATTCATTTTTCCTGGATAAACTTGCTAGAGAACATAAATATGAGGACCAAACTTTCTCTTGTGGTGTTGGGAACACCCAGGTCACTGCAAATGCCAGACTGAAGCACACCCATTCTTTTTCTCTTTTTCTTCTGTTTGCTTTGAGACAGGTTCTCTCTACATAATCCTGGCTATCTTGGAACAATGTAGACCAGGCTGGCCTCAACCTACCTGCCTTCTGTCTCCCACGTGCTGGGATTAAAGGCAAGGGCCACTTCATCCTTGCTTCCAACTTTGGTAGGAACCTAGACTGCAAGAGCTAAGCAGATGCACATCACCAATTCTGGAAAATCCAGACTACGGAGCAGCAGGAGACTAACTGGAAGAGGTCACAACCAAAGCTCTAGCTCCGTATCACTAAGGGAAACATCCCATCTGAAGGACTATTCTCACACGTGGGACGTCAACACTTTTCCTGACCAGTGGACACTTGTCATCAGAGCGCTCTCGTACATTCTTCCCTACATTTACCACAGATTTTTCTACTTCTCAGGATTACAAGCCAGGGGAAAAGCTTTTAAAAACAGCGTGGGGAGGGCCGGGCCAGGCTGTGGTGGTGCACGCCTTTAATCCCAGCACTTGGGAGGCAGAGACAGGTGGATCTCTGACTTCGAGGCCAGCCTGGTCTACAAGAGCTAGTTCCAGGACAGGCTCCAAAGCCACAGAGAAACCCTGTCTCGAAAAACAAAACAAAACAAAAAAACAGCATGGGGAAAGCTGGTCACTGTGAGAATCTTCTAGAAAACCAAAGGAGATAAACAGCCTTGAATATTAAAGAAATGTACCCAAGCATCACTAGAAGCCTTCCAAACTGGCCTTACTGCAAACAAGGAGATACTCTTATCACAGGACTGGTCCCCCTTTCAGGTTCCTAAAATCGTAAAGGGGGCCAGCCACTCTCACATCGTTACGTGCACCTTTCTACATTCTCCTGTCCACACCAGCTCAGGGGGCAACAGGTGGCCCCGTCAAGCTCTCACAATTGCGCCACAAAGCCTGAACGCCTCACTGCGTCTGCGCAAAGGACGCTCCCTCCCGCCCTTCTTCCTCTCATGGCGCGCGTGCGCACTCGAAGCCTCTCAAACCAGGCCGCGCGTTACCGGGGCGCGTCCGCCCGGACCTGCCGTGCACGCGCGCGCGTCCTTGCCGCCTAAAACCGCGATCGCGTGCCCCTCCGCCGGCCGGTCCGCGCGCCTCCTCTCGTGCTCTCTCGACCCGACTCACCTCCGCCGCCGCCCGGGCCCGGCTGCTGGTCCTGGCGCGGAGGCGAAACTCGCTGGAAAAGCGGCCGCGCGGGGGCGGGTGCAGTGGCGGGTTCAAGGCTGGGAGCGGCAGCGGCGCCGCTAAGGAGAAGGCCGCCATCAGGGCCACCAACAGCGATCCACCGGCGGCGGTGGCCCGAGCGCCAGCAGGCTCGGCTCGAAACCGCCTTTGGGCCCAGGAAGCGGGGGAAAGGCCTGGCAGGCCCAGCTTACCCAGCGGCGTGGCGTTCGCTCCGGTCGCCATGGCGCCCCAGGGGACCGGCACCAGCGGTTTCTCGTCCTCGGCGGCGGCTTCTCCTTCGCGAACCTTCCGGGGGGGGAGGGGACCCGACTACGCTACCGAGGAGCGCGGGGAGCCAGTCCTCTCACGCGGCGGGCGGCTGCGGCGCCAGACGCACAAAGAGGGAGGAGAGAGGATGCGGCGGGGGCGGGCTGGTGGCGGCGAGACCGAAGTCTGGATTGGGCTGGCCGGAGGTGAGCTCGGAGTCAGCGGCCTCCGATTGGTGGAGCGCTAGTCCTTTCCGATACGTGTCGGGATTGGCCGAACCGTTAGGCCAGGCGACGAAATGGCGGCGGGGCCGGGTGAGCTGGGAGGTGTCGCAGCGCGCACTTCATTTGTTACTGCGCGGACTGAGCTCCCAGCCCGGAGAGGCGGGGGTTGCGATGGGACAAAGTCTATGACGTAGGGCGAACGGCTCGCTCATTGGCTGAAGGTGAGGGAGTCAAGCGCCTCGGCGTCGTAAAGCCACCGGATTGGCTGAAACGTCTCCCCTCCCCCAGGGATCAGTGGCTCGGGAATCGGAAAAGCCCGGAGGAGAAGCCCGAACGAAGAGCGGGGGCAGGCGGTGCGCATGCGTAGTGAGGCCCAGCGGCCTCAAGCCCTTCGCTGGCGGGGCCGGAGCGGAAGCCCTAAGTGACGTTGATCATTGTGCCAGAGGTAACCCAGGAACCGTGGGGAAGGGGCGGGCTCGAGTGAACGAACCGGATGCGTCGACGGCGCAGGTAGAGAAGCGCTTCCTGTTTTCTTCAAAAAAATTAAAGTGTTATGGAATAGCTCTAAGTAGGGCTGTGGGTGTTTTGTTTTTTTAAGATTTCATTTTATGCAGGGCAGTGATGGCGCAGACTTTTAATCCCACCACTAGGGAAGCAGAGGCTGGCGGTCTCTGTGAGTTCGAGATCAGCCTGGTCTACAGAGGGAGTTCCAGGGCTGCATAGAGAAACCCTGTCTCGAAAAAAAAAAAAAATCAAGATCTGAAGTGATGGAGTAGCATATAACATCAGATGAAAGACAACAAGGCGGGCGGTAGTGGCTCACGCCTTTAATCTCAGCACTCAGTCAGGCGGATCTCCATGAGTTCGAGGTCTTCATGAGCCTGGTCTACAGAATGAGTTCCAGGACAGGCTCCAAAGCTTCACAGAGAAACCCTGTCTCGAAAAACTAAACCAAAACAAACAAACAAAAAGCCTGTCTCAATAAAACAAGTCCAAGTACTATTTAAAAAAAAAAAGACAAGGTAACCAAAGTATGGCCTGTCACCTGAGTATTTGAGCAGCTGAGACAGGAGAGCTGCCAAGAGTTTTGATACTAGCCTGAGGTACAGTATATCTGTCACCAACAAAAATGAAAAAAAATCCATGCCTCTAATCCCAACTCTTGCAAAGGAAAAAAAATCAGGAGCTCACAGGCATTCTTAGGACGAAAAACAACAACAAAAACACACAGTCAATTCAAAAGTCAGTTTCCAACTGTGCACTTCCATTGAAATCTCAGTGTGTTGGGAATTTGATTACATTACTGTGAACCATGAAAATGGTGGGGAAATGGTAATGACACTGAGGCCAGACATGCCTTCCCATAAAGAAAACATAAGAGCAATAAAACAATTTAGAACTCAGTCTAGACCAGGATGGCCTCAGACTTTTACAGAGGTTTGTCTGCCTCTGCCTCTTGAGTGCTAGAATTAAAGGCATATGCTATTACACCCAGCTCTCCCCCCACCCAGACAGGGTCTCTTGTAGTCCAGGCTGGCTTCAAATTACTTTAAATTTTGGGTCCTTCTCTCACCACCTCCAGAGTACTGAGGTTATTGGCATATTTACTACCACTGCCTGTTTACTGGTGCTGGGAATGGAACCCAGGCCTTCTTGCATGCTAGGCAAGTTCTCTACAAACAAACCAATCCCCAGACCTTTGGTTTTTATTTTTTTCTAGATATATTTCATTTTTAAGTGATTATATACCTGGTTGAAACAAATTTTATACAGAATTGCTGTGGGATAATGCTCTTGTACACTGTAAAGATTTGTCACTCATATTGGTTTAATAAAACTCTGATTGGCCAGTAGCCAGGCAGGAAGTATAGGCGGGTGACCAGACTAGGAAAATTCTGGGAAGAGGAAATGCAGAGATGCAGTTGTCAGCCAGAAGCAAAGGAAGCACGGTGAGAATGCCTTACTGAGAAAAGGTACCAAGCCTTGTGGCTAAAATTAAGAATTATGGGTTGATTTAAGTTGTAAGAGCCTGAGCTAATAGGCCAAACAGTTTATAATTAATATAATTATATATAAGTGGAATTAATATTAATGTGTTTCCTTGGGACCGAACAGCCGCAGGACCAGGTGGGATAGAAACTTCCGTTTACACAGAATATGTGATCCATATATGAAGCTATGTAGCACCTTATGCAAGTTTCACTCAGACACTGAACATTATGACCTTACTACCCTGGAGAGCCACATATTGAAGCCAAGTCCTTTGCAAGCTCTTGGGTCCTGCACTAGAATCTGAAGTTGACACTACTAACCACTCTATGAAAACCTAGGGGACAGAAGTTTGGTAGAAAAGAAATAAGTTGGGACCAGGCCTTTGTGATACATGCCTTTAATCCCAGCACTCCAGAGGCAGAGGCAGGTAGATCTCTGAGTTCGAGACCAGCCTGGTTTTCAAAAATAGTTCTAGGACAGTGAGGGCTATACAGAGAAGCCCTGTATCACATACACAAACACATGCACAAGGAAGGAAACAAGTTTACTCAAGGCCTTTCTTGAGGACAATAGAGGATGGCTCCATCTCACATTCCATCTCAGAGGGCTCAGGGCTTCCGGAGGCAGGAATAGGGTCTTTCCCTTCCAAGAACTATCTTTTATTTTGAAACAAGGTCTCACGTATCCCAGATTAGCTTCCATTTACTATGTGGCTGAGGCTGGCCTTGGAGTGCTAGTCCTCCTGCCTCTGCTTCCCAAGGCCTATGCTGTACCACACCCTATTTTAGCTTTTTGTAAATCCTCTAGACCTTGAACCCCCTGGGAAACCATCTGCTTTCCATTTATTTAGCAACAATGGGGATCAAACCCAAGGCCCTGTGCATGCTAATCAGGTGTTCTGTTGCCAAGCTGCACCTGTAGCCCTATACTTTCTTTCTGGGTAAGGCATATGAACATGAGTGGGGAGGGATGCTAGAGAGAATTGTGAAAAGAATGGATCAAGTTAGGAAACAAGTTAGGAAAAGCAGAGGCAGGCGGATCTCTGTGAGTTAGAGGCAAGCCTGGTCTACAGAGCTAGTTCCAGGATATCTAGGGCTTACCATCCTAGCTGCATTTCCACTGTTGTGATCATGCTCTGACAAAGGGTTTAATCTGAGCCTGGTGGCGCACACCTTTAATCCCAGCACTCAGGAGGCAGAGGCGGGCAGATCTCTGTGAGTTCGAAGGCCACCTGGTCTACAGACTCAGTTCTAGGACAGCCATGGCTGTTTCACAGAGAAACCCTGTCTCAAAAAAATAAAAATAAAAATAAATTAAAAAGTAAAAGGGGGCGCTGGAGAAATGGCTCAGTGGTCAAGAGCACTGCCTGCTGATCCAGAGGTCCTGAGTTCAATTCCCAGCAATCACATGGTGGCTCACAACCATCTGTAGTAAGATCTGAGGCTCTCTTCTGGCCTGCAGAACACTGTATACATAATGAATAAATAAATTCTTTTTAAAAAAATGTAAAAAGGGGTTTAGTTGGCTTACACCAACAGGGTAGTCTATACTTTAAGGGAAATTGAGGCAGGAACTTGCAGGTAGTTATATTTGTAGTTGAAAGCAGAGAAAACATTGGCTCTTCACTTTGGGACCCCTGCCTAGGGGATAGTGCCGCTCACAGTACACTGAATCTTCCTATTTAAGATATGCCCCCAGGCCAGCCTGCTCTAGACAGTCCCATAAAGACTTCCCAGGCAATTGTAGGTTGTATGAGTTTGCAAAACTAGCCATCCCAATAACCAACTTTTTCTCGCCAAATTAGTGTGAGTGTGTTGTAGGCCACAGGGCTTATGTGGCAGTCAGAGGACAATGTTCAGGAGTCAGTTTTCCTTCCTCTTTGAAGTCTCATTTCTGATGCTGCATTGAGTACTTCATGCTAGTTTGGCCTCGAGCTGATTCTCCTGTCTTCCCCTCTCATCTCCCCATAGAAGTGCTGAGCCATCTGCCTCAGCTTCAAAAATAATCAACTCAATAAATTGATCATTCTGGACATTTTTCTGTGTTTATAGTATACACATGGCTTCTGGGGCTGAGGATGAAGCCAGGTGGCAGAGTGGGTGCCTAATGTAAGGCCTAGGGTATGACCCCCTCCATTGTAGACCAAAGTCATCAACAGTATCTACAGTCTGCACTGTCGGCCCTCCCTCCATTCCAGGTGAGTCAGGCAACAACCCCCTGTGCAGTCCCTGCTCCTGCTGAGGCCCCGGCTTGAAAGCTGCCTTTTTGTTCGTTTTTAGAAGACATGGTTTTTCTGTAGCTGTGGAGCCTGTCCTGCAACTCACTCTGTAGACTGGGCTGGCCCTGAACTCACAGAGATCCCCATCTGTCTCTGCCTCCCAAGTGCTAGGATTAAAGGCGTGCAGCACCACTGCCCAGTGAAAGCTGCCATTTTCATTTCCTCCTTAAACTGGTCTCTCCTGCCTGTCCCAAGTGCTGGGATTACAGATGTGCACCACTCTGCTCAGCCTCCTATGACTTTGTGTGTAAGCGTGCATGGCCAGCTGGTGGTTGTTTTGCTAGTTTCTGAGCTTCCTAACACACTTTCCGGCACACGTTCGCCATTTTATGGGACTTACTGTTTTGGTTTAAAACCTGCTGGTGTTGCTGTGTTAAGGACTTAGAGCATCTCCTGACTGCCCAACCGCCCTGCTCTAGCTGATGGTGCATCCTGGAGAAAAGCAAGCCCATTGGATACGGCACCTGCCCTGTGCTCCACATCACTTCCCTCTCTCACCCCAGAGGCTTCTCTACACCTTCAGGGCGGGCAGCCAGGGCTTTCCCATGTGCCCTTCTGGCGCGGGCCTGTTTGTTGAACATGCTAGTAAGCTCATGTTCTCTGTTCTGCTTTTTTTTTTTTTTTTTTTTTTTTTTTTNTTTTTTTTTTTTTTTTTTTTTTTTTGAGATAGGGTTTCTCTGTAGCTTTTGGAGCCTGTCCTAGAACTTGCTCTCGTAGACCAGGCTGGCCTCGAACTCACAGAGATCTGTCTGCCTTTGCCTCCCAAGTGCTGGGATTAAAGGCGTGTGCCACCACCGCCCGGCTGTTCTGCTTTTAGCACACAGGGTCTCAGTATGTAGCCCTGGCTGGCATTCCTGCCTCAGACTCTAAAGTGCTGGATGACAGGTGTGAGTCACCATAATTGGTGATGTATCTCTATCCACAGAGTGACAAAGAAGCCCCAACCACAGGTAACACCCACAGAGGGCATTTTATGGTACCTCACTATGGCAAACACAACCGCTCCAACCCAGTGATGCTATTTCCAGGAATTGATCCCCCAGAAACACTTGAGTACACAGAGTGGCTCCGACACAGGGGTTATTTATTGCAGTGTGGTTTGTGATATTAAAGTAGAAATACATTCCTCAATAAGGATCTTTCAGTTAACATTAG